AAACTGTTCCAAAAACTTATGAAACAATAATCGAATATAAAAAAATAACAAGACTGCTCGTATCAGAGCGAAACCTTGAATGTTCGGACTGCCTTTTAAGGTTTGTGGAGCAGTAGTAACATCAAAAAATTAAATTCATTAAAATAAAATTTAAAAAAAATCTAAAATTTGTTTTTTTTTAATGAAATCATCCCCCCACACGCCATATAAAGTACAAAAGAATACATTTCGCTCATTGTAACATATCAATTATGGCAAATATGCTTCTTTCAACCATTTTGGAACGATTTCGATCTTAAGCGTTAATAGCGCGAAATATATCGCGCGTTAATTGTCCCAAATTGGCCAAAATGGCAATCTTTAAACCCCCATAACTTTACGAAAAATATTCACAGGTAAAATTTCTTTTCAAATTTAAGCTCAAGACAACAACACATTTTGAATGATGTAAAAAAATTCCGTCAAAAATGGTTAGTTAAAAAGTCGAAATTTGTCTGAAGAAAAAAAACCCACCCCGAGCACAAATATTCCGTTACTTTCGAATCGAAAGTCGGAACAATAAAGATCTGTTGTTGAATTTATTTATTTGATTACAAAAAGAGATTTAAATTGATTATTTCCTGATAGAAATAGATGTTTTCTCAATTTCAGAAAGACGGGTTTTAAAAAGATGGAATATCCCATTAATTAAACTGGAAACTGGGTGCTTGTTGATTTCTGAGAGGAAGTCCGAGACAAATTTCAGGAGTTTCAGATGTAAATTTAGTGGCTATTCACCGAAAAGTTTTGACATTTTGTATGGTCAGGAAGCATTGTACCTTCGGGAAGAAATTAGCCACTGAAAGCAAAGAAAACAAGACAGCTCGCAACAGGGCGAAGCCCTGAATGTTCCGACTGCCTTTTAAGGTTTATGGAGCAGTAATAATATTTAAAAATTCAATGAAATAAAACAAAAGAAAATTGGAACGATTTCTATGACGGATTAAATTGCCACTTACGCATTATTAGCGCAAATTATATCGCGCGTTAATTGTCCCAAATTGGCCAAAATGGCAGCCTTCAAACCCCCCATAACTTTACAAAAAATGATCATAGGTAAATAATCTTTTCAAATTTAAGCTCAGAACAACAATAGCTTTTGAATGATGTAAAAATTCAGTCAAAAAAACTAGTTAAAAAGTCGAATTTTGTCTGAAGAAAAAAACCCACCGCGAGCACAAATATTCTGTTACTTTCGTACGAAAGTCGAAACAATAAGTTCATATAAAAAATTATCCGCGACATATTCAAAAGTAGTCAATCAGCGGAACGCTTATATTAAATGCGGTTAATTTTCAGGCTTTCAGCCAATAGTCAATTGCTGAAAGCTTGAAAATGAATCACATTCATCTCAAAAGTAGTCATTAAAAAATGAAAATTTGTCGTTATTGTACCAAAGTTAATTACTTTAATCAATATAATCCTAAAATAGTCGCAAAACTATAGTAATAAAACTCAAAATTAGACTCGAGAGTAATGAAGATGAAACAGATGCTTAATCTAAAAACAAGACTGCTCGTATCAGGGTGAATTTTTCGATTGGAGTAATGTTCCTTTTAAAACAATGATAACGTTAGCAAAAAGTTAGATTCAGGTCGAAATCATCCACCAACACGTAAAGTACAAAGTGATATGCTTGGCTTTTTGCAAAGTATTAAATAGATCAAACATCACGCCTGAATTCAATTTGGAACGACTTGTAAGGCAGATTAAATCTCCACTTATGCTTTAACAGCACGAAATATATCGCGCAATAATTGTCCCAGTTCTGCGTTTTAAACAAATTTTTTAACCCCCATAACTTCACAAAAAAGATCACAGGTAAAAACATCTTTTTCCAGGTAAAACAACCTAAGACAACTCAAACTTCAGGACGATAGAAAAAATACATCAAAATTTGTCTGAAGAAAAAAAAACACTCCCAGCACGATTGTTTCGTCATTGTCATTGAAAGTTGGAACAAAAATTATTTTATAGTTGCCTCACAATTAGTTGCAAAATATTGATATATGGCGTGAAGTTCAACGATTCGTTACAATGCCTAGTCTTGTTTTCCCGCTTTTAGCTGAAACGTAGCTTAGGAACTCTTTTACTCCCACTATTTTAATTTGTTGAGGTTTCATTAATTATTCCGTGGTAGTTGTTGAAAAACATATTAAAATTTATTGATTTTTGTTGAAGTACTTATTAAATTTTCTTGGTCGAGCACTTATCAAATTTTCATAATAATTTTTTGATTAATTGGCGATACAACATAATTGACAAAAATGCCAATGTCTTTCAGTTTTCTATGTCGCAAAACAAAATTCATAAGCTTTGAAGAAACAATCAAGAAACAGAAATTGATTCATTTGTCATTTTGAAGGCTTGTTTTTGTATTGTTGGAAACAAAATTAATTAAGTGGTTTTCAAGTAATTTTGCGCTAAGCAAATTGATTGATTTTCATGTAAACGCACATTAAAATGCCAATGATGGTTTGTGAAATCGAGCTCTCACTTTACTTCTCGCTTCATATCTGCCTCTGCCTGACCGATGTCGGCTGCAAAAGTGGAACCACGTGAAAACTTTAGACGCCAGAAAATGACTTTGACTCGCAAAAAAAGAGCTTCAGTCAACAAAACAACTATAAAAACAAGACTGCTCGTATCAAGTTTAAGCCTTGAATGTTCCGACTGCCTTTTAAGGTCTATGGAGCAGTAATAACATGAGAAATTTAAATGTAAAACAATAAAATAACTTTTTTTAAATTTGAGATTTTTTGTAAAAACATCTCCCCACACACCATATTAAGTACAAAGCGATAGATTTAGATTCTATTAACAAGCTTGAATTAATTTAGAAAGATTTCTAAGACGAATTAAGTCTCCGCTTACCCGTTAATAGCGCGAAATATATCGCGCGTTAATTGTCCCAAATTGGCCAAAATGGCAATCTTTAAACACCCGAAACCTTACAAAAAATGATCACAGGTGAAATACATTTTCAAATTTTAGCTCAGAACAATGATATAAGCTTTCGAATGATATTAAAAAAATTCGCCAAAAATGTCTGGTTAAAAAGTCGAAATTTGTCTGAAGAAAAAACCCACCCCGAGCACAAATATTCCGTTACTTTCGTTGCGAAAGACAGAACAATCAGGATTTTAATTAGACAAGCTGGAAAGCTTTTTATAGATCCTCTGCAAAGTGCTTAAGCCACAATTATACATTTATGATTATTTAAAAGTGTTTTTTTTTCAAAATCGAACAGTCCCACACTTCAGCGTTTGTTTTAGGGCAACTTGAATTAACAAAACTTGGGTCAAATCAAATTTGGGTTGGGTCAAATTTATCGAAAAAAAAGTGATATTGGTCGTAACATGGAAAAATATGCAACTTTGGTAGCGTTAATTTAAACATTCAGTCAAGAATTGAGTTAAGCATTCTGAACTTGGTCGAATTAGTTTTTGTTCTTTTGCTCACACATTATCTGCGGACACGCAGATGTTAGACTCATGTTGTTGTTCTTTGAAGTTTAAAAATTTTGAGTTGTGGTCAAATTATGATATAGATCATACCTGATAATAGGTGCGATACTCCAGAAATGATAAAAACAACCAATTACAATTTTTTTGAATAAAACCACGCTCTCAGCCCGCGTTTATATGACTACATGCATTTGGTATTCGAAGTCTGAAATACTGCTTTTTGGTCAAATTTTGATCAAAGATATAATATAAGTCTAGAAGTAATGAAAAACGATAACGGTCAATATACTCTGAGTCTGAGGTGATTATTTGGTTATTTTTGGCAATTGATTTGCTTTAAAAAATTTTCGACATTTTTGAATATTTTTGACAGTTTTACTTCTTGAAATTTTCTCTTTTGAATTTTTTGACAATTTTCTCTTTTGAATTTTTTGACAATTTTCTTTTTGCAAAACAAAAATAAGTATAATTAAATTCACTAACAAATGATAACTAAAGATGCTTCTAACAGTTTCTAAAGCCTTCAGTATCCGTTCGTTGCTTGGTAAATGGTGAAATAAACTAATTTGTTGTTGTTTCAAACCTTCCTTAAGAACAAGTTATTATGATTATTATGATTATTATTATTATTATGATTATTATGATTATTATGAATATTAATATTATTGTGATTCTTATGATTATTATGATTTGATGATTTTTATTAATATTATGAATATTATCATTATTGCTATTATGATTAATGTTGTAATTATGATTATTATGATTATAATTATTAGTATGATTATTTTGATATTATGATTATTATGATTATTATAATTTTCATTATGATTATGATTATTATGATTATTATTATGATTATCATTATGATTATTATTATGATTATTACTATTTTTATTATTATTATTATCATTATTATTATCATTATGATTATTATTATGATTATTATGATTATTTTTGTGATTAATATTATTATCATTATTAATAATATTATGATTATTATGATTACTATCATTATCATTATGATTATCATTATGATTATTATGATTATTATAATTATTATTATTATTATTGTTATTATTATGATTATTATTATTATTATATTATTATTATTATGCTTATTATTATCATTATGATTATGATTATGATTATTATTATTATTATGATTATTATGATTATTATATTATTATTATTATGATTATGATTATTATGATTATTATTATTATGATTATTATGATTATTATTATTATGATTATTATTATTATTATGATTATTATTAGTATTATTAGTATTATTATTATTATTATTATTATTATTATTATTATTATTATTATTATTATTATTATTATTATTATTATTATTATTATTATTATCATTATGATTATTATTATTATGATTATTATTATTATTAATATGATTATTGTTATGCAAAAGGCCATGCCATCGGCCGAATAATGTGATCACATGTAAACAACAGTTGCTTTATGTTTTCAGGTGTTTTTCCTTGTGTTCACAACGGGTATTCTGACAGTTCTCTCCTACGACAGGTGCAGTGCAATCACAGACCCTTTCAGTCGCTATTCCGTCACCCACTCTGTCAACTCGGGATTCCTGGTGCTCCTGGTCGCAGTCCTATCTGTTGTGCTCTCCTCCCCCGACATTGTCAACTCCCACGTGACTGACGCAATCACTGAGGTAAATACCCCTCAGTTTGTGTAATTACATGCATCTGCTCTTCGAAAGTCGAAAATAGTGCATTTCGGTCAAAGTTTGGCTAAAAATATAACCGAAATATAAGTTTGAAAAACGATCATATCAATAAACTCTGAGTCTAAGGTGATTTTTAGGATATTTTGGTGATCGGTTCGCTTCAAAAAAATTTTTAGACGTTGAAGTTTTTTTTTAAGTTTTCCCTCAAAGGGCACCCTGAGCGGAGTCTTCAGGAGTGGATCCGCAGGGATTCGAAACCCTGGTCGCTTTGGTACTTCTTATAAAATACATTTTTGGACGTCCAGCTTTTCACCTTTACCTAATACCCCCTAGCATTTTAAACATTAATTTTGATTGGGAAGCGTGCGCCAAACTTTTGGCAAAATATTTAAAAAAAAACACTGAAATATCACTTTTAGTATTTTTTTTAAATATTTAAATATAGGAGATTTTGAAATTTTTGAGGTCGTGATAGAAAAAATATATTGCTTTATATGGCAACATAACGCAAGTTTAACCTCTAAGAAGTTTTGTATCACAAATTTATCAAATGCTCATTTAAAATGGTCGCAAAAATCGCTGACCTGAACTCGGGATTGGATTCATTCCCATGCTTTCAAACGACGCTAAGAATCAGATTCTCTTCACCAAATGATAAATTTTGTTAACGCCCAGAAAAAGCAAGTTGGTAATTAAAGTGATTATGATTTGAGCAACCCAACGCAATCTAAATTGAACCTCTGAGCTAAAAAGTTTCTTACTGACAAATTTTCGGCTATAACATGTTTAGTCAACAAATGTGCACAAGACTGCTTGTATAAGGGCGAAGTCCTGAATGTTCCGACTGCCTTTTAGGGTCTATGGAGCAGTAGTAACATAAAAAAAACTAAATGTAATAAAACAATAAATCGAAAAAAAAATTCTAAAATTTGAAATTTTTTTCAATGAAATCATCCCCCACACGCCATATAAAGTACAAAAGAATAGTTTTTGCTCCTTGTAACACATCAATTATGGCAAAAAAGTTTCCTTGAATCAGTTTGGAACGATTTTTAAGACGGATTAATTCTCCGCTTACGCGTTAATAGCGCTAAATATATCGCGCGATAATTGTCCCAAATTGGCCAAAATGGCAATCTTTAAACCCCCATAACTTTACGAAAAGTGATCACAGGTGAAATATCTTTTCAAATTGAAGCTCAAGACAACAATACTTTTCGAATGATATAAAAATTTTGTATATAAAAATTTCGTCAAAAATGGCTAGTTAAAAAGTCGAAATTTGTCTGAAGAAAAAAAACCCACCCCGAGCACAAATATTCCGTTACCTCGTATCGAAAGTCGGAACAACAAAGTTATTTAATCTATAAGCACTCAATTCAGCGTCAAAGATCAAATCTTTCAAAAAAACTTTCAATTCAGTGCGGAAAAACCTTGTCAGAGACTTTAATGAAATTAAAAAGTACTGTTCTCTAACAAATTATGTCAATTACGTCAGCAATATAACCAACCAGTTAAATAATTATCTTAGTTATCCAAAAAAATAATCTGAAATCAAAGAATATATTCAATTAACTCAAAAGTTTTAAAAAAACTAGCTCGAGATAAAAAAAAATACGGTAAAATTGTTCAGACATGGTTGCGGTGGTGTTGCGTAAGTTCACTGCAATTTAGTGAAACTTAAAACGTGGAATAGATTTCGTAAAAAAATTTAACAAGTAGCAAAAAAACTGTTCCGATCATAGTGTTCAAATTATGACTGAAAGGTTTTTAAGTATGATAAATCACTCGAAACTTTCCGATGATTATTTGTGGTACCTGATTGTGCGTGGAAAACAAAAAAAACTAAAACACATCCGAATACAATGCTCCTCCTGAATACAATGCTCCTAATGCATTTTAAATGGTTGATACAACAACATAGAGTTAGCGCAGATGATTAGCAACCACCTGCGTAAAAGAACACTGAATGTAGGCACAAAAACTTTGAGATAAATTATATTCAAAGACTAGATGGAAAATTGTGCCCAGCACGTTATTTTTCTTATCACAAATTTCGACTTTTCAGCTAGCCAGTTTTGAGCGCACTTCTTTAAGCCATATATCTGAAAGGTATGTATGGCGGCCTGGGCTCAAACTCAAAAAGAAAAATCACATGTGACCAATTTTTTGTATGTCTGTTTGAATCTGTCATTTCGGCTGTTTTGGCAGGTTAGGGTTGTTTGAAACTGCATTTTAGCTATTGGATGGAGTGATATGGCGGTTTTAAAATAATTAGCTTGGGTAATTTGGACAATTAACGTGCAATATATTTTTTTCTATTGACGTGTGAGGGGCTGTTTAATCCAGATCGAAAATTTGAATAGTTTTTGGGGAAAAAAATTGAAATCTATAAATGTGGACAAAATCAAAGTGTAATATTTTGAGTCGTACGAAATTAATACGACCATTTAGCTAGCTTCAATTCAATTTGGAACGATTTTTATGTGCGGGATAACTCGCCACGCATAAATAATTCGCGTTACGATCTCAGCGTTTTGAATAAACTCTTCAAAGCGCGCATAATTTAGTCCAGAACATAGCCAATTTGGCAACTTTCAAACCCCCAGAACTTTACAAAAAATAATCGTAGGTAAAATATTTTTTACATTTGAAATCAAAAAGTCAATATCTTCAATGGGGTATAAAAAATTTGTTGGTAATTATTATTTCGATCGGTGAAAATTGACTTAATAAAAAAAACCACACCGAGCATAAATGTTCCGTTTTTTTTCGAATGTCGGAACAATAATAAATTTTAGGCAAATGAGTGTTATTATTCAATGCGACCGATTAGATTGTATCAATTCATGCTAGAACATTTTTGTTGTGTGGGATCTTTCGCCGCGCATAAAAAAATCGCATTTAATTTCCGACATCACAATTGAAATCTTTAAAGTGCGCATAATCAGTTCAGAGCGTGGCCAAATTTTATACCCCCAGAACTTAACAAAAAGTGATCGGAAGAAGTTTACAAAAACTATCATTTCGATTAACGAACATTGACCAACCAAACCTGTTCTGCATTTCTTCGAAAGTTGGTACAAAAAATCACTTTGTACTTTACATAGCGTGCGAGGAAATTTTTTTTCAAAAAAAAAACATTTATAAAAAAAATTCATTTCTTTTTGTGAAATTCCATCACTCTTTAAAATATCATTTATTTCCTAATCCTTAAGAGTCAGTTGGAACTTTTTTTAAGGTTTTGCTATGAAATGAGCAATCTTGGCAATTTTCCTTCAACATAAAAAACTTTGTCATGCTTATTTCAGTTTGAAATGCTATGAAAATGCTCACAGATTCTTTTCATTGAAAAAAAATTGCATTGCAAAAATTTGCAAGTTTAGAAAAATATTGCAAAATTAATCATACTAATTTCAAAAATCAAAATCATGCGCTAATTTTTTGTCAGGGGTCTTAAATAAACACACGCTCCAATCGTTTTAGACAGACAATTATGCAGGTACTTTTTAATTTTCCTGAAAAACGTTTTCAAATCATCTTTGAACTCTTTTTCACTTGTAATAATTTATGGATAATTAGTAACTTTCAATTTTTTTCTAATTTTGGATAAATTGATTTTCCTAGCTTTCCCAAATCCATAAAAAGACCCTGTTTTGGTCAAATTTCTTGCGCCACAGGCAAGTTTCTAAAACAACAGGCAAAAAAAGCGTTCTTAGTCACTTTTTGAACACTTTTAACCGAAAAATTATTTTTTTTTGGCGCGATACCCCCTCAAAAATAGTACAATTGGCGCCTTTAGAAAAAATTTAATGCCAGCCAGCGAAATTATGTTAAGGTCTTATAATTGCTTTGGGTAGTTAGGGGGTCGAATCCTTGAGGGGGAGTCCAAACCCCCCTTTCCCCTCAAGTAATCCCCCATCCCTAAATCGGCTACTGCTTACACTGAAACACATGGCACAATAAGATGCATCACTATAGTTTTCAGATCTTTCTTCATCCTGGAAAACACATTTGAAAATGATTTACTTCAACTTAGAAAACCGGGTAGAGTTTTTTTGAATGATACGACTCGAACTAAAATTATAAACGCCATGTTAAAATTAAACTTGACGTTTTAACAATGATTCGTAAAATCTTTGAGGTGCCCAATCATGGGTACGAATTATCATTTACTTTTTCATATTCCGAGATAAAAGATTTTGGACCTAATAACTAAATGCCCTATTTTGACCAGAAAAGACGCGATTCATGCAGGAGGGAAACGACTGACATACGAGCAGGTCAAATCTTTTCGGGAACCGCTGCTGTGTCTCTCATTACAAAATACATGCATTTTAAAACTTTTTTTATTAGGTTGGGTGCTTTTTCCTCACCCTTAAGCAACGGTAGCAGCGAAATTGCAATTGGTTTTTTTCCAGGTTGGATACAAATTGCAACTCTGCTCCCTTGAAGCAAACTTCCTCTTTTTTATGCCCTCGTTTGTCTACGTCATTGCAATGGTGTCAGTGTCTATCAGCTATTTCAAACTAGCGCGCCATTTGTCCCGTCAAGCGACATTTGTCATCGCTACTGTCGCAAACCCTCAGCAGACCCAAGTCATACAATCTCGGAGGATTCGAGTGGCCAAAATGGTCCTTCTACTTGTTCTGCTATTTTTCTTGTGCGCTACTCCTGCAAATGTCTACGACGCTTTTTTATTCTTCGAGCCGACAAAAGTCGACAGCCGAATTCGATACGCAACCAAGTTTCTCGTCTTTTTTCATTCGACTGTGAACCCAGTCGCTGTTTTTGTGCTCAGTGGTGCACATCGAAAGGCATTCATGGAACTTCAGGGTATGATCCGAGGATTTCACTGGCATCAGTTTAAAAATCAGTACATCGAACGGCGTCCAGAGCCGGTCTACAGAAGAGTACAAATTGCTGTCAAACCAGGCGATCAAAACGGAATCCATCTTGTTCCTCACAGGGGTTTGAACCTCGACTCGGCCGACAAAAACATTACGGGCTCTTTTTCTGAGAAAAAGCGGCGAATCAGCAGAAGTCTAACAGTAGGTGCAGATCTAGATATGTGTTTCGATCAGTCTTTAAAGTCGACCTACAGACAAAACAATGCAGTGCGCAGACGATCCGACAGTCATATTGCTACGACATCCAATGATTGCTTAATATAAATCATTTCAAAATCAGAAGCTATCAAAAAAATCTATATTTTGTTTCAAAACCCATTTTTGAATCTTGATGTTGCTTGTTTTTTTTTGTTATTGATTTGAATCTCAGAATTTTGGTTCATTCTCAAAAGACAATTTCGGGATACTTTAGTGGTCATTAATAGCATGAATTGAGAAAAATCATTCCTTCCGAAGTTAACAAAGATGTAATCAATTTCATTATCAATTTTCAGTAGTGTGTTTTAAATTCCATGTTAATGTCTAATGGACGAATAATTAGAATTGAATTTTTTTAAAATTAAATATCATTTTGAAAAATTTTTGATGTATAACTCGTTTAGAAAACACTTACGTGGCAGATTTCCGCGAAACTATGAAAACCTTTCATACGATTGTGGTTTTTTGCATGATAGATTAGGCAATCAAAGTACTGAGTTTAAGCCAGAGGTAGCTTTCCCCTAGAGTAATTTCAGATAAGGTACACCGTCTGTTCGTCACACTAACCCATTTTCGGCCGGATAGATTCCTGCAACTTCTGAGTCTAATACCAACGCTAATCTTACTCTTATATTTCCTAGTATCGATAGATCTAGTATATACTAGTATTCTTGCGAGGTTAGAGGAGAAAAGAAGGCACCTGTTTTCAATCTGTTTTCTTTTTTCTCAGGCTGAAACTATGAATAGTTTCAGCTTTACAATTTATCAATGGATCATGATTGGTTAGATACAAATACTTCACAGTGATAAGTATCAAGTTGTATATTGAATAATTGTTTTGAACTGTTTCCAGAACACTAATCATATTTTTTTTAGAAAAAGGAAATATTTTTTGTTCCGGCTTTTGAACAAAAAAAATACATTTGTGCATGGTGTGACTTTTGCCCCCCCCCCCCCAAATAAAAGTTACTTCGAAAAACTTTCTAAGAAACAGATTTCTCAGAAACAGAACGCTAAAAACGAGAAACAATTTTCAACTGCAAATTTTTTAAATAGAATTATCACAATTCAAAAATGGCCAATGTGCGATAATTACTTTTGCAAACCCGCCATTTTTTTTGCTATGGCATAGTCTGGACGGCAATTACTCGAGCTTAAAAATCAATCAATCATGCTTTTGATGTATATTTTTTTATTCAGATTATGAGCAATTGTTTTGCATGGACGTCTCAACCCAGGTACTTTTAAAACGATCGAAGGTCTCGAAACGATTCAAGGCCAGAAAAAAAAACTATTTTTATCCTTGTTAAAACAAATTCGGCCCAAGAACGAAGACGCGAGACAAACTTTTGCATGATCAAAAACGAAGGGTAAAAAAAGCTAGCCGACAGCCAAAAAAATTCTTTTTTGCAATTTTTAAAATGTCACAAAAATCTATGAAAAAATCAAGATGCATTGAAACCTAAAAAATTACTTTTCAAATTGAATAATGAACGTTTTTTTTGCCAAACCACGAACTAGAGCCTATCTGGAGTTCAAAAACCACATTAGCCGCACAGAAAACACACAGAAACATCAGATCTGCTCAGAGTTTAATCACTGATTCTATGTGTCTGCGCCAAAAGACATCATGTCTGAATTTAGTCTGATCAGATCTGATGCAGCACTGCATCAGCTTTGATAATCTTACTTAAAGCAGATATGAGCAGATCTGAACCAGGTCTTAATCAGTTCTGTGCAGACAAGACTCAGATGTGACTCAACTCTGCAGCGGATCCTTTCAGTCCTGAAATACCTCTGCACCAGGGCCGCTCGGCTCTCAGCACCCGTACTAGATCAGGATTTGTTCTTCATATATCAAATTTGTCAATAAAAATTTTCATCAATATCTCCAAGTGAAATTATGATAAAAAATAGCTTAAACCGTTTGAGGTGATGTCGTTAATAAAGGTAGTTATATCTGATTTACCTCAAAAATCGGGGGCTCTTAAAAGTTTTTTCTAATTGCCTTTTCAACTTTTTTCTATATTTCATTTCTAGTTTCAACTTTTTTTATTTCATTTTAGCAAATTATCCGTTTCTGTGGGTCTAAAAAACAGTAAATGAAAAATTTTCATGTGGTTTTAAACAAAAACAAGCCGCAATTGTTTTTAACGACGCTAAAGTATAAAGTAATGTTCCCAATTGGGTACTCATTGGAAACAAAGAAAAGAAAAAAAAATGAAAAAAAAATGTTTTCTTCTACAACAAAATCTTAATTGTTTGAGGTTTTTATTGGGGGCCTAATATTTCACCTAATTGAAAGAAACCGAGGAGTTCGATAATGATATAATTTTTTTTAATTGTCAGATGCAAACTTTGAGTAATCATTACGAGGCCAAACTGTGCACTGGATATAAGCACAATTTTGTGTCTATATGTTTCTGGATTCCAGAGACAAGTCTTAAAATAAGTTCCAAAATAAAAGTGGATATCACAAAAAAAATTTCAGTGGATTCCGCATACATATAACTGTAACGTAACGTTTGTCGGCACATTCGTTTTGTTGCGGATTCCGCAATATAGCTAGTTGTTCTGCATTCCGCAATTGTAAGTGGTTTTCGCAAACTGTAAGTGGATTCCGCAAATTGTAAGCGGATTCCGAATTTTGTTCAATACTAAAATAGCATATGAACAATTAAAAGCTGAGCTGGAATTCTCATCTCTAGCTGCGGAGTTTTAAACTAAAGATTTAACCATTGTCAGCGGAATCCACAAAAAAGTCTTAAGACATTGGTTACCTAAATCGGTGGATGTCATCTTTTAGTATTTTGGAATCACAACGCCGAACAATTTCAATATTTGGAGTAATTGAGTTGAGAGTGTATGGAACACACAGAATATCGACAAATTAGGTCAGTATTTGAGATTGCGTCAATCCCAAAAACTGATTTTGGAAGCATAACGCCGAATAAATGCAGTAATTGTAGTCATCGGATTGACAGTGTATGGAAAAACAACACAAAGCATATCGCCAAATTAGGTCAGTTTTTGGGATTCTATCGATCACAAATACTGGTCAGTATTTGGGATTGTTGAAATGCCAAAAACTGGAATATTTTGGAATAAATATGGAGTTTATTCAATATTTGGAGTCATTAGGTTGAGAGTGATTAGAAACCCAACGCATTGCAAATCGTCGAATTAGTTCAGTTTTTGGGATTCTATCGATCCTAATTACTGGTCAGTATTTGGGATTGATGGAATCCCGAAAACTGAAGTAATGTGGAATAAATATGAAATATATCAATTATTCGGACTCATCAGGTTGAGAGTGATAAGAAAGCCAATGCATAGCAAATCGTCGAATTAGTTCAGTATTTGGGATTTCATCGATCCCAAATACTGGTCAGTAATTGGGATTCCATTAATCCCAAACACTGATAAATTCTAGTAAATTTCTCTTCTAGTGGAATCAAATCATGTATTTAAAATATATAATTTTAAAGGCTTCTACACATATAAATATAAGTAAATGGAATCCGGAAACAAAATGCGGATTCCACTTACAATTTGCGGATTCCACTTACAAGTTGCGAATTCCGTTACAGTTGCGGATTACCGTTACAGTCAACTTAACGATACAAATGTTTTATCGTTTATTTGAGGATTCCACAAACTGTTCTGGATTCCGCAAATACAATATTTTTCGAACAATTTTGAGAGGTACAATGATTTAGGTACTTGTTTGTGGAATCCAAAACAGCATAGAAGATCAAAGAAAAGTAGCAATGTTGCGGATTCCGCGACAAATCTGATTTTGGCCTGTTGTGGATACCGCCTACAAAGCAGAGAATGCACAGTATGGCCTCTTAAGGATTTTTTACCGGGTCGAAGTGTTTACTTTAAGCTTGGTTCATCTCGAGTGAAATTAGGTGTCATTCGAAAGTCTCGACCAATTTTCGAACGTGGACAAGATTCGGTTATGCTCAAACAATCAACCTAGTAAAAGTCTCAACCGTTCTCGACCCAAACGACATCTTTTCTGTAGTTTGTTTTGAATTCCATGTTAATGTCTAATGGACGAATAATTAGAATTGTATTTTTTTTTCAAATTTAAATATCATTTTGAAAAACTTTTGATGTATTTTTTGTTAAGTAAACACTTACGAGGCAGATTTCCGCGAAAATTTGAAAGTCTTTCATACGATTGTGGTTTTTAGCATGATAGAATAGGCTATCAAAGTACTGAGTTTAGGACCGGTGTGGCTCACATTCATAGTGTAATTTCAGATAAGGTACACCGTCTGATCGTTACGCTATCCCGTTTTCGGCCGAATAGATTCCGGCAACTTCTGAGTCTAATACCAGCCCTAAACTTACTTTTATATTTCCTAGTCTCGATAGATCTAGTATAAACTAGTATTCTTGCGAGGTTAGAGGAGAGGAGAAGGCACCTGTTTACAATCTGTTTTATATTTTCTCAGGATGAAACTATGAATAGTTTCAGCTTTACCATTTATCGATGGATCATGATTGGCTAGATATAAACATTTCACAGTGATAAATAAAAAGTTGCATACTGAATAATTATTTTGAATTGTTCCCAGAACCCTAATCATAATTTTTAAAAAAGAAAATATTTTTTTTTGCTCCGGTTTTTGAACAAAAAAAAGACATTTGCGCTTGTTGTGACTTTTGTCTCCACCCCAAAAAAATATTCGACAAATTTTCTAAGAAACAGATTTCTAAGAAACAGAAAGCTAAATACGAGAAAAAATTTTAAACTAAAATCATTTTTTAAAAAAGTTATGACAATTCAAAAATAGCCAACTTGCGATAACTACTTTTTACAAGTCACCATTTTTTTTATTATGGCATAGCCTGGGCGGCGATTTACTCGAGCTTAAAAATAATTCAAAAGGATTTTGATGTAAATTTTTTAAATTCAGATAATGCGTTAAGAGAGGCAAAATAGTATTGATTTTTTAACATTGCCTGTAGTTGGTTTTCAAAAACATCATCAGGTTTTAGCCACCAAAATTGATATCAGAGCTAGGAACGGGCATTCACAAACAGACTTTTTATTTTGTCCGCAGACAAATTTGAATGCTGATTTGCGTTTTTGGCGT